TGTTCCTTTTTTTAGAAGATCGAAAAAGCATAAAAGAAAGAGTATGCATATGATGCATGTACCAGATGTGATGGACGGTTCCAAGGTCCGTAGGTCAACGTCATTCCTCATTCTTTACCTTTGTTCTTCGACCTTAATTATTGATAAGTTGCCTCTGATAGTATGTTAGCGTGGGGGCAATAAGTTATTTCTGCCAATACCGTACTCGGATTTACACTGACCCCAACATTAGATTGCACTGGCCGAAAAGGTTAGCAAACTGGGCCTTTCTTCGTCGATGATGTGTGGACCATGTATAAGTGTGTGTGTGTATATTTATATGGGACCAAAAATAAACACACTTCAATCAAGACAAAACTCAGAAATCAGTCATAACAGAACAGTAGTAATGCGCTACTAGTACTGCTCAGTGAGAAGAAAAAGACCCAGGTACAAGATTCTAGAAGCATCCGAAAGCAGACAAAGAATTGTGCTATTCACCCACGAACTTAAAGTGAACGTAAAGTCAACGCCTACCTCAGCGCAACTCGCCAGCGACCTGTATAGCAAACGTTATTCGGTACAGCTTCTAAAACCTGGTGATAGCATATACAAAAATACAACACAGCGACGATAGACACTCAAATAAAACTCAATGCCGAAAGGATGTCAAATAAGGAGTTTCCGTATATGAAAAGATAGACAAAACAATGCCGGTCACTGACAAGAAATGGCGGGAAAATGTGAAACTCGATACCATGAGCGCCGTGCTATGGCGGGAAAACTGGTAACCAATACTTCATACCGGCGCGGGGCGGATTCTCTCATTCAATCCCTGGCCTCTCTTAAACATACATGTTTCATGTTCAGATAACACGAAAACGCTAGAAACATTTTTAGAACAACTATGTGACTACCATATGCAAACAGAAAATGCCACATAGAAACTGAAAATGTGCAAAAGCGACGCGCCCATACAAAGGTACCAGTACAAACTGCCGGGAGACAGTTGCAAGCCCACCAAGAGAGCGGTTGCCACATTGGTGTTCGCACTGACATTTGGCGGGAAAATGTGGAACCCAAAACCAACACCGTCGTGCACTGCTATGAACTGACGGGAAAATTAGAAACCCAATACCCTGGGTGTCCCACCTTCCCCATGACCCTTAGAAAGGGTCTTTTTCATAGTGGCGTTTCCTACTTTGGCCCACTAAGAGCATCAGTAGCAATACCGTCAACATTTACCATTAAGTGACTTTAGAGCTCACAGACTTGCCCTGAACAGAGACGGGTCCATTCCGTGAACAATGTTGAAGGATTCAGCCGAAAATTTGGAGTAAGTCCAAATTTCTATAGTGTTGGAATAAAAGCTTATTCTTTACTTCAAAATGAAAGAGACATGATATAATTTTTTTAGATATTTCTGTGGCAACATCTGTGTGATATCACCTTGTTATAGTACAGGTCAATAGATAATGTATTTTGGAATGTGGCACAGTCTTAACCATTACCATATACTACCATACGCGTGACATGGCACTCTTACTTCGTAATCTTACAGGAAATCAATTCGCTTCCTCAACAGTACGGCAGGAATCCAATTAAGAATCCCAGTTGAGGTCCCTGAGTTCCTCTGGGCATACAGGTTGACAGACAGAAACGATTTTCTACTTCGATTTTCTTTCAGCGGGTTGGCAGTTTATGAGGGTGCTCGTGACATCAATCAAGACGCAAACGGACGTCGCAATGCGTCTTAGTACCGGGTCTCAAGAAGGTCAGGGGGAATGAAGAGCACACTTGTCTTTGAGTAAAGCATTAAAAAAACCTAAGTGAAAAGGAATTTGTAAGTTGAAAGTGGAAAAATGCTAGTTGACAAGACGAACACAGTTGATTGTAGAGTACGGCATGTTGTTTGGATTCTTGACAGGATTTGTCATCAGTTTCCATGTGACGCGGTCAGCCAGTTCCAGCGCAAAAAATTATCCCAGTTTCTATTGCAGATCTACTGAAAATACATCCCCGAATTTCTTATGAGGCGTTGTCAGTATAGATAACGGACTAATGGCGCACCGTGCTATTTTAGATGAGTCCAATTTCCTCTCATAAAATTGAGTTTCGATCTACGTTAATCGTATAGACTTCATTCCATTTTTATTCTAGACAGCGGGCTAATTATATAGTGTGCACCACGCGTGGATGAGAGACTTGAATAAGTAAAGCAGATACGATGTTAAACATTTGTTTCTTTTAAATAAATAGATGTAATGTAACTTATGTAATTGTATGTAGATGTATGTTGTAATGTTTTATATGCTCTAGTCTCTCCTGGAAGATTAGCTGTTAACGACTTTTACCCAAATACAAAATGTGGAAGAAATGTCTCTCTTGCAAGAAGGACATGTCAAAATTTTAAAAAGTAGAAATTGGACTCATTAAAACGGCCATAGTGCGAAATTAATCTGTTATCTAAAAGAGATTGAGGCCTGTGTCCCCCGACATGCTCTGGGATAGTTTTCGTGCTGTAACGATTGGGTCATTCGATGCGCTAGTGAGAAATGCCAATGGCATAGTGAGCCGCTAGCATGTTGTCTAGAAGAACGGCGCCTTCAGCAGACATTGTGGAAACAAGAACTTTGATTTTCGTTAGATAACGAGATAGCTCTTACAGAGAAACTGCCTAATCCAACGATTATCTGGTCATTTCATGCTCCAGTGAGAAAATTTAACTGTCGGCCTGTCCCTAATTACAAGGGTGTTCCCTGAGAGATGTGTGTCTGGCATATTGTCAAGGCTTCCTGTTGCATTTCTACTGTACTTTCAAGTTTCTTGCAATCGATTTCAATGAAGCTGCAAATACTCTGTTGTATTACCTATACAATAGTAATGACAACAGTGAGCATAAAAATACCACAGTAGTTATCACATCTAGGTGGTCGAAGACATAATAATCTCATATTTGAGACGATTTGTAGCGGTAGCAGTCATTAATAATCTAAAATCAGAAGCAAACCCATAGTTGCAAGGACCAGGAGATTGCTAATAAGCAATATTATCATTATTCTGGACGATGATACATTTTTCTAATCGTCCTGGTCATAAAGGACACGGCATCTTCAGTCTAATTCTTGGTGACCATCTACAAATAATTACCGCAGTCAAATGACAATTCGTTCTTCCACTGTGCTAAATTACACACCAAAAATACAAGATCATGTGACCAAATATAATCATCTAAGCACGTAATTGACAACATTACGGACACACCCTTAAACGAAATGAAATGAAGGTTCATCAAAATAGCTAGTTTCAATTCTGCTGCTGATAGATTGCTTTTACATTATCCAAGGGTCACTGGATGGATGGAGGTCAGTTGGGCGATTTAGCCAAGTTTTTTTTTTTGCACCTGGGGCACAGCAACTGGCTCAATACTTGTATCCCCAAAGCTTCAGTTCTTTTATCACTTTTATTAGGTGGAACGGACAGTAATTCCAATGGCGCCTGGAGGACCTCGTGGCATTGCTGTGAGGTCTCCTTACCATGCCCTCGTCACCATGTACTGCGGTACTAAATGATTTTTTTGGCAAACGCCCAAGCCCACGATGAAATCATGACCGTGTACTTGGTACTTGTATAGCAACGAATACCGTGACTGTGTCAGAATATTTGATGATCATTAGAAAATGATTCAAAACTAGAATTATGATTAATTTAACGTATATTATGTCTCCAAGGCTTTGATGAAGGTAAATAAGCTCAAACCTAAACCAACACCTCACTCAAAGCAGAAATAAAGCAGATATAATTAACTGCTGTTGTTTTAGAAAATAGCATTTTGCATTTCCGGCAACAAGATGTAACTAATCTTTATTAACTGGAAAGTAACTAACATCTGTTGGCGATTTGGTGTCTTATATCCTTCTTTATAACGTGATTTTTTATAAATTATTCATAGTAATTTAATGGTTCGTTCGTAAAAACCTTCTGTCATGTTAATGGCTTCCTGTTTGTTCCAGGTAATGCACTCAGTCACGTCGTAAAAATAATCTTGGCGATGAAAGAATTGGCTAAAGTCTAATGCTATTTGTTATGTTAATAACATTTTAGTTTTGATAGTTCATAATACCTTTGAACGGTGTGATAACTTAAAACACGGTCAATTTCCTTTATTGCTACTAAAACACCAAAACAAACATATATACAGGCATAAAAAGTGAATGCAAAATGCTAGTGTAAAAGATTTTTTTAAAAAGCTATGCTTTACTATACTCTCCCGTACATACATATACTCCTCATTATCAATTTTTACAGTTCAGCATTTACAGACAAGCCGAAGGGACTCAATGCTGAAACCTGTTCAAAGATAACTTAAGTTTTTGTAAGAAATTTGTTTCAAACGTGCAAGATTAAAAAAACATGCAATCAATCCATTCTACCAAACGATCAAACTTTACATACATGTCTAGGCACGTATCCTAACATTGTCGTTCATGCACATACCAATGTATATATGTAGATCACGTATCTGTGCGATGGTGCTAAAAGTGGTCCTATTGATCCATTGAGGTCAGATTTTTTATAAGCTTGTCAATTAATTCTACGTGCAGCTAAGACGGTAATCCCATGCATCTACATACGCCTGAATATTGCTGACGTTGTCATGGCAATATCAAGCTCTTTCAAACTTTTGAGGGCTATGCTCTAGAATAAGGACCTTCGCTTATTGCCCAATGCTTGCAATGGTGACTGGTTTTAGCACAATTTGTAGCAGAAACAACTTCTATATCAAGATAAAACCATATGTTTGACTTGCATTTTGTAAGATGATAATGGATAATTATACTCTTTCGTTCCAGTATAATATGATGTTACGCTTGTTAAATTTTACCATGCAGATTGTAATTGAGAGTCAATAAAGTTTATGTAACTCCACAATGTTGTCATCTTTATCACCTACCATCTCATGACATGCATGTATCACCACTTCACTTGCATATAACATGGACTTGATATTGCATGTTCAGGTGACACCGAAGTTAAGAAAACCGCTTGTTCCTCCTTCTGGAAAGGTATGCAAAAAATAGATGGAATGTTGTGCCTGGTCTGTCTTGTGCACAGTCTTTGTGTTTTAAGATGTGTTTGAGCATAGTCGTCTTTGTTATAGTGCGATAGTGCAGTAACTTTGCATGTATCGTTTTCATGAGAGTATGAAGAAAATCACTTCAGAAATCTTTACAAAAATTGTACTAGAAATTAAACTAAAATTTAAAAAATGTAGATCGTCCATGGTAAGCTTCTAGTAACATAATGACCTACATGTAACAGTAAGACGAAAATCTTTCACAACTTCCACCTAAACTTTCAAGTCTACATATATGTAGTCATGCATTTCCATTTTGAGAAATTGGGGCGGCCAGAAAGTGCTTGCATAATACACATACTCTTATGGAAGCTTTGCTAATGTATTCCAAAGCTGCCTGCAGATGTATTAATACATGTAGCATGGAAGATGTTTTGCATGTATCATGTCACAAAGCTCCATCCAACCATCCATCCGCACGGAAATCCAGGTAAAATCACCCAGTAGTAACAGTAGTAACTCTCTCTGGTTCTGATGATCCCTTCGCACCAACCCAGGTTATGCCAAAGACTAAAAAGACCCAAGCGGTAAGTCATGAAGTTCTGTACTATGTTCAACTAACATTTTCACCGACATGTAGTGAAGGCACTATCAAATATGACTTGCTGTATGTGCATTTTGTACGTAGTTTTTCAATATATATCTGTGTGATAGACACTATTTTATGAACACTGTTTTAATGAATGTTTACTTGAAATTCGCTTTTATGCAAACGTGCAGTTACAATTTAAATTTGAATGTATTAATTCTAAAGTCTTCTCAAAAAGCATTATGTAGTATCTTCTATTACAACGTTAACTTTTATGTCTCGATACAGGCAACCGAGTCTCCAAAAAAGTCGAAGAGTTCGAGTAAGGTACGTGTTGGTAGATTACAACATCAATACACATCAACAGGGCAACTTTAACTTAGCCGCCGCATGCACCATTCTGATGGGAAATCGTTTAGTACCCCATAGCCAGCCATAAATGCTTTATCTTAGGCCACACCAATTTAATTTGTTGGTTCTCGGATTCGCCTCTTCATTTTGTTCCTGATTTGCAAAAAAATTTCAGAATCAACTGCAAAATGCTCATATTTTGCCCTGAACAGTTGAAAACAGTCCTTTTCTTCCTAGTCGTTACATTTATTCCATCTTTCAATGCAGTGGTATCATTAGAAGTTCAAAATTCATTGTTTAAATTTTGAACCAGCCTTTTGTGTTGACTTCATACCTCCTATCGTAGCATTTAGGGCTATAATAGGATGCCTAGATCTGTTTTTATTTTTATTTTTTTTCGCCCTGTCGCTTCATATTTTTCCTGAAAAAATCCGAGAACCAACAAATTAAATTGGTGTGGCCTTATAGTACATTGTAAAAACTAAAATCTTGAAGATCAACGTTTTACTATGATAACTACCAACATGTATGTATGTACTACCAACACAGATGAACTTTTATGATAACCCTATAATTCATGTTGTTCAACCATTAGATGATGGCATCCACTGAAGATGGGAATCTCATGTCAGAAGAGGAATATACAAAAACAGACAATGGAGGGAGTGAAACTAGTGAAAGTGAAACAGGAGAAGGGTCAGGCGAAACTGAGAGTGAGGAATGGTCAGGGTCAAGCGAAAGTGAAACCGGAGATGGGTCAGGCGAAAGTGAGAGTGAGGAATGGTCAGGGGCAAGTGAAAGTGGAGAGAAGCAGAAGACGCTCAGCTGCCCGCATTGTCACTACGACACAGTCCACAAGAGAAGGATGAAGAAACATGCGAGGACCCACCGAACACTTCGATGTGAGCAGTGCGACTATACCACCTCACAAAGTGTGAGACTGAAGCGTCACATGGCCACTCACACTGGTGAGCGACCCTACATGTACCACTGCGGCCACTGTGAGTTTTCATCGGCGAGAAAAGACGGCCTTTTTAACCACGTTAGGGCGGTGCATGGCGGCGAGAGACCTTACCAGTGCACATACTGTGATTATGCCGTGGCGCAAAATGCTCAACTTCGTGACCACGTCATGTCGAAACACACCAACACCAAACCGCACAAGTGCGCGCTGTGCGAGTATTCTGCTGTAACCAAGAAGAGCTTAAAGTTCCACGTCATGAGAAGCCACACTGGAGAGAAACCCTACAAGTGTGAGTTGTGTAATTACGCCACCCATCGAAAGCAGACTTTGAAAACGCATGTGGCCACACACAGTGCCGACAAACCATACAAATGCGAAATGTGCGACTACTCCGCGGTCCAGAAGACAGCTTTTAAAAAACACATGCTTAATAAACACACAGAAAGGAAGC